CACCAATCTGAATCCCGAGGCACCGAAAGCGTGTTGGCTTCCCCCAGCCCATGCAAAGTTGAAGTGGTCACCTTAGCTGTTTAGAAGCATCGGGAGTGGATTGGAACGGATGCTTCCTGCAAGGCAAAGGACGGAAGGCCACTCGATTGGCAGACAGGGCGACGCGATCCTACATTTGTGTGTATTCGGGAGCCCTATGGCATCTGTACAGTAATTGCTGAACCCCTCTACAATCCCTGAAGGCGAAAAGGGGCCCTTAGAATCCATTGTCGCTCTAAACCGTTTGGGGGCTCCGAACCGTACCCTTTCTGAGAACCTTTGATGTAAAAGCCATGGGGCCTGGCCTTCATCTTCGTCAAACAATGTGCCGCAGGCTTGGGACCAAGAGTGTTCCAGTCGTTGAGGACGCCGAGTTTGTGCATGAATGGCAAAGTCTTAAGTCTGCACCCCCCCAGTCCTGGAAACCAAGGGGTCCCAAACCCTAGAACCCCCAAAAATTGAGCCTGAAACAAACTCAACCCTGAAAGCCCTAAAGCTGCGACATCCTTAGACCCCTCAAGCCCTGAAGGACGGCCACTTCCATGTCGCCTGCCGTCATCGCCCACTGCGAAGCCTGGACGGCCAAGTATGACCCCAAACCCTCAAACCCCAAACAGCTAAGCCCTGAAACCACTGCAGCCCTGAAAGCCCTAAAGCCGGACGAGTTGGTCCCAAAGCCCTATGTCACGTCGAATCCCTGAACTTTCAAGTCTGAAGCCTACACCCCCCAATCCTGGCAGTCACAAGCCCTAAACCTCGAAACCCTAAACAGCTCAGCCCCTGAAGCCCTGAAGCCCTGGCACCGCTAAACCTTTGAAGCCCTAAAGGACGGCCGCTTCCATGTCGGATGCCGTCATCGCCCACCGCGAAGCCTGGAATGCCGAGCATCGAGACTTCAAGGACGTGTTGGCCCTCAACCCCTTTGACACGTCGAGTCCCGACACCCTGCAGTCTGAAGCCTACACCCGCCAATCCTGGAAACCAACAGCCCTAAACCCTAAGACCCTACAAAGCTAGGCCCTAAAACAACTTAAACCTTACAGGCCCTCAAGCCCTAACATCCCTAAACGCTTGAAACCCTACAGGACGGCCGCTTCCATGTCGGATGCCGTCATCGCCCACCGCGAAGCCTGCACTGCCCAGCATGGAGACTTCAAGGACGCGTTGGCCCTAAACCCCCTGTCGCGTCAAATCCCGAAACCCTAGAGTCTGAGGCCCACACAGACCAATCCTGGAAACCACAAGCCCCGGAACCTAGAACCCCGAACAACTGAGCCGTGAAACAGCCTAAACTCAAAAGCCTCGAAGCCCTAACGTCCCTAAACCCCTACAGCCCTCAAGGACGAGTCGGGTCTGCACTTGCTCTTGCCAGGGGCTGTCGATGTCCACCCTGGCAGTTTCCTGCTTTGCGAGGCATTTGCTGGCACCTTCAGGGCAGACACGCTTTCGACCCTACAACCCTATAGAAAGCTAAACCCTCAAACAACCTAAACCCTAAAGAGCCTGAAGTCCTAACGCCCCTAAACCCCTAAAGCCCTCAAGGACGAGTCGGGTTGCACTTGCTCCTGCGGGGGCTTTCGATGTCCACCCTGGGAATTTCCTGCGCTGCCCAGGTCTACATCCTCGACATCTTGGACGCGGACTTCATATTTTTTCCCTCCCGCCACGGGGACCCACGTTGACGTCGTGGGAGGGCTCAGTACCCCCTCCGCTAACGGTGGTCCCCAACGACGACGACGACGACGACGACGACCGACCGCCACGATTATGACATCTTTGTCAGATCCAGTCCCATAGGGGAGGAGGACGTCGACCACCACGATTATGACGTCTTTGTCAGCTCCAGTCCCACAGGGGGGGGGTCAGGGGCGGGGGTCAGAAAAAAGAGGGGGGGTCAAAAAGAAGCTGTCAGGGGGTCAAAAAAGAGAGGGGGGGGGGGTTAACTAGAAGACAAAGGGGTCAGAAAAAAGAGAGGGGGGGGGGTCAAAAAAAAGCTCTCCCCGCCCAAAAATTATGAGAAACCCTAAACCCAAACGTGGGCCTTGTTCGCTTTGGGGTTTTGGGTATCTTGCTTTGCTACTTTTTGCCCGTGCTTCAGCAGGTAAAATATGGGAGTTTTCGAAAATAGGGGACCCTAATATAGTACCCTAAATAGGTCCCTTACTATAAGGACCCCCCAAAATAAGGAACCCCTATTTTTGGAAACTCCCATATAGATGATTTCAATGAACTCAATTCGTCGCCGCCCCGAAACTCCAAAGTTCCGCGCCCCGAACCAAAGGCTTCAGCCAATTTGGAGGTGATTATAAAATTCGCCTCAAAAATTGCAGGTTTATCATAGAAAGAACCACGAGGCAGGGACCCGAATTTCTTGCAATTCCCAATTTTAAAGCCAGGAACGGCTTTTGTAAAGCCAGAAAAGCTTAAACCCTGAACTTATACCATAAACTTGAGAAAGCCAGGAAAAGGGGGGCGCATGGGAGATGGCATTGGGACTTTTTGCTCAAATGCCTCTGGCCGGGATGTCTCCAGACATCATCAGCTACAGCGCCACCATCAGTTCCTGTGAGAACCCTGGCGTTTTCAGGGTGGCCTGGGCGGTTGAAGGTCTTAAACCCTAAACATCCCCGAACCCTAAACGTTTTGGGGTTCAGGGTTTCCTGGCCTTTTCAGGGTTCCGGCTGGTGGCTGTAGGGTTTTGGATTTTAGAAACTGGATGGCAGGGCTTTTAGGTGTTGAGGTTTGTGTTAAGGGTTTAGGATTTTAGATTATGGGTTCAGTGGGAAGGACGGTGGGTTTCAGTGCTCTGTGTTGTTTGGGTTGCATATGTTACGTAGGTATACAATTTAACGAGTCTGTATGGGTTTGGATAGGGCTTAGTGCAGGAAAGGTGGGCAGTGGCACGTGGCCTTGCAGCTCTTTGACGACATGCACAAAGCGCAGCTGGCTCCCAACCTGTTTATCTACAATGCAGCAATCAGTTCTTGCGAGAAGGCCTATTTGGGGCTCAGAGTTCAGGTTTTTGGAGTGCAGGGCTTGGGGTCTCCCCCCAACCAAAACCAAATTAAGTTGATCAACGTTTTGAATCCTGAAACTCCCCATTCAAATAATTTCGAACCCCGAACCCTGAACCCCTCTCTCGCTAGAGCGAAGCAGATCCTTGAAAACATGATTTAAGCTCCATACTCTACATGCCCGAATTCAACAAGCTCTTACATGCCCGAAATCCCCCCTTCCGAAAAATCACCCCTGAGGCAGGCGAGTGGCAGCTGGGACTGCAGCTTTTCGCGAGTATTCAATCCAGCAAACTGATCCCGGATGTGGTCAGCTACAATGCCGCCCTGAGCTCTTGTGACGCGTGGCGCTTTTGGATTCAGTGTGGGCTTTGGGGGTCTACGGGGGTCGGTGTTTATATGGGTTTTGGGATTTTTGTTTCGGAAGTTCAGGGTTACTAGGCTGTTTAGCGCCTTGAATCTCCGGTCTGCCGACCATTATAAGGCATCCACTCCGGGCCAAAAATTATTGGGACCTTATCCAGATCCTACGCCTTACCTACAGTCTCCATTATAGCTGCTTCCGTTGGCTACCTGACAGGATCTTAAATAGAGAATGGGTTGAACGAAAAAGAGGAACTACAACGGAGACTGTAGGTAAGCTTTACAGAGACGTAAGACGCCCCTAATCCCCCCTGCACTGCAAGCCTTGTACATCGACCTCACATCGTCCTGCCTTCGTTACGACTTAGCAGCGGACTTGTTTAAAGGTAGGGTATAGGGAACTAGTTAGGGTGCTAGGTTTCGGGAGCCCCTAACCCTCAAGCCTTCAATATTGAATGCGTCAAGCCCCAAAGCTTGAGTATAAGTCTTGTTCCAGGTGTCACGGGGACCGAAGGGCTTATACTGCAAGGTGGTTGCTCATTATCACCATACCTACTAAGTCCTTAAGTACCCTGACCCTAAACCCTAAACTAAACTCTAAGTCCCCTGAGCCTCAAACGCGGAAGAACACCATACCACTATCACTATTTCCTTAAGTGCCCTGACCCTAAACCCTAAACTCTACTTACTAAGTCCCCTAAACCCTAAACCCTAAACCCTAGACCCTGAGCCTCAAACCCCGAAGCCAGAGAAAAGCGAGGAGAGAGGGGCAGAATGGCAACTCGCCCTGCAGCTCTTCGATGCGATGCCGAAGGTTCGCTTGGTAGCCAACCTCATCGGCTACAATGCCACTTCGGCCACAATCCTTAAACCCCAAACCCTAAACCCTAATCCCTAAACCCTAAACCCTAAACCGTGGGGGGGCGGATGGGGGAGGGGAGGGTTTGGGGTTTTGGGTTTAGGGTTTAGGGTCCATCATTGTGGGAAACGGGGAGGGTTTCGGTTCGGGTTTGGCAGGATTTTGTAAGGTTTTCGTAGAGTTTCAGGGCTTGGGGTTTATGTAGCATATATGTTAGTGTACGTAGGGTATTAGGCTGGGTTTGGGCTTGTGCAGTGTACGGGGCTTTAGTTGTTAGGTTAAGGGTTCATAGCATTGAACGTTCCCTGCAGCAAACCTGACCCGTTTCCTACAGTATGCCTGACCTAAATCCGGATTTAGCAACACCCGGTCTGCGTAATGAATGCTGTCGATCGTGCAGTCAGCTTCCGTCCCCAATGCGCTGGAAGGGGTCCTTCGGTATTCAAAAACCCTACACCAAACCCTGAACCATAAACCCTGAACCCTATACCCAAAGCCTTAAGCCCTAAACCCTGAATGCCGAACCCAGGGGTTTAGGGTTTAGGGATTAGGGGTTTAGGGTTTAGAGATTAGGGGTTTTAAGGTTCAGGGTTTAGGGTTTATGGACTAGGGGTTTAAGGTTCAGGGTTTAGGGTTGAGGGTCCTTCAGGATATGTCTTGCGTCCGAATGCCGATCATCGCCGTTTGCTCTGAACTGGAACCTCAAAGAGCACAGTCGGTTTTAAAGCTTATGTGGGCTTGGTTAGAGTTAGAGCTGCTTCAAGGTGAGGTTTCCTCAATATAGGGGCTTAAATAATTAACCTACACTGTTGTTTGTTTAGGGGGGTTCCTTATTTTAAACGCTTCACGTCGTCCGCCTCGGCCCTGCCGTATGTTGGTAGGAAGATATGATGCCAGGTTTGTGTTTTTGTACTCCTGTGTACATGGAACCCTGTGGCTGAAGCATTATACAAGTCGCGGCAACCTGAGCAGTCAAGCTGTTCAAGCAGTCTGGAGATGGCGAGAAGTAGATTTGGTTTCATGGTATTTCGATAGTATATTCATTTGGGACTGCAGGGGGATGCGAGTGCAGCTTCAGCCCTCGTCCGAAGCCTCACCTCTAACAGACACGAGACATATGGGTAGTTGTCAAAATTATGGCCGCTTTTTGGGTTCCCTAAATAATAGGTGCCGTATTATAATAAGGACCCAAAAAGGGACCATAATTTTGACAACCACCCATATAATCTGAACGCAGCGCACCCGAACCTGAAGACCCTAAACCCTAAACCCTAAACATGCTGCATCGAGGCGCCACAGGGTCCGTCGCCCGTCCACGCAGTATCAAGCAAGGGAAGCGGAAGCCGACACGCAAGACAGAAAGGCCGAACAGGAACCCTAAACTCTAAACCCTAAACCCTAAAAAATCTAAACTTTATACCCTAAACCCTAAACCGGCCAGGCAAGGGATAAAGGGCGAGCAGTTGGGGGGAGGGGGGTCGGGGGCAAAGGGGGCAACAATTAATCCAGTTCTTGATCAACACCCATGACTTGACTGGAGGTTTAGATTAAATGGAGAAGCCTACTAGAAACCCCAATGCCAATGCTTCTGTGCTCCCGACCCTGCACCCACTTTAAACATGATGTTAAGCTCCAGAATGACCCCCCATCGTAAACCCAGAATAGCGAGTTATAGGCCTACCTTGCGCCCGCTGTAATCTCAGATTGTAAACCCCACGATAAGCCTGACTGAACACCCTGACTGTAATGAACTCTTCATCCTTTCATAGACCCTAAGAGCCATGCTGAAAGCCACACAGCCGGAATTGCATCACAAGAACCTAGCCGGTAAAACCCTAACCTTTGAGCAGTTTTTTTGACTTTGGTTCGCTGCACGGCGTCCGAGCGTAGCGTACCTTGAACCGTTATGAACTTAACTCAAAATCGAGACAACAGAAACCCCAGACCCCAAACCCTAAAGCGCCAACAGAAAGCAGCAGAAGGCGATGCTGGGCGCTCTGCGCCAGAGTCAAAATGCTGAGGCTCTGGCTTATGCAAGCAGAGCCAGGAAAAATCTACAGCCGTAGGATTTATATAGTCTACACAGAGGCTAGAGTCCTTTTTTGGTATTTGATTTGGGTGCGAGGGGTCTTCGCCTGTGACATTTCTAGTGACTAGTGCTTGTTAAGGATTAACGACTGGGGTTACTGGTTTAGGATTTACTGTTTGTGGCTTTTGCTAGGGCTTCATGCTGTCATTCTCAATTGGCTATGGGTTCAAGAAGATTTGACGTTTCAGAGTTAAGTTTGTAGGATGTAGGCTTTAGTCCCTAAACCCTAAACCCTAAACCCGAAACCCTAAACCCTACCAGAACCCGAAGAAAGCTATGTCGTTTGGGAAACAGGTTCCGATTTCCTTAGAGTCCCGGATTCTCCGCTGAAGCCAGAGACTCCAATACCCCTTAATTAAGGAATATACCTTAAATTATAGTAGGATCCCTAATATGATTTGAGGTATATTCCTTTTTTTTAAGGGGTCCTAAACCCTAAACCCTAAACCCTAAACCCTATATTCCTTTATTAAGGGGTATTGGAGTCTCTGGGAAGCTCGCTTTAGCCGTAACTCCACGCTAACACGCCTAAACCCCTAAAGCCTAGGCCTAAAATTTACCCTAAGGGTCCAAAGGGAAACGGTTTAGGGTTTAGGGTTTAGGGTTTAGGGGTCCAAAGGACCCAATAATTAGGTACTTAGGTTTCGGATAATAGTTATGTAGGTTACTATTTAGGTACTTGGACCCTTAGGGTAAACCTGAGACCGTAACCCTGAGCAATTCCCCAAGAAGCATCGATCCTGAATTGTAATATTAATGTTATTAATGACTCTGCCACACTTTGCTAAACTTGGAAGGTTCAGGTGTCCGTGTTTAGGGTTTTGGGTTCAGCGTTTGGAGTTTAGGGTTTTAGGGATTTTGGGTTTAGGGCTTTAGGGTTCTAGGGTTTCGGGTTTTTTGGGGTTCATTGCCAGCATCTCTGCTTACCAAGGTGGGCCGTGCTCGCATGCAAAACATGCGCTGCGCCCGCAAATCTGGGTTGAGGTCGGCTGCAGCATACTTGCACAGATAAATCAGGGTTTAGGGTTCAGGGTTAGGTTTAGGGTTTAGGGTTATTAACCCAACTGCCACGCCTCAAGACGGGACGACCGCAAACAGTACATGCTGAATCCACGACGCGAAACTCCAAGATAGCAAATCTTGAGCTATTCGCCAAGTCATTGTCATTGTTGTCACTGCGAAGTTCCCTAGAACATCCTTACGACCGGTTTTCAAAAACTTGCGGCTAGAACCCCTTGCTGCCAAGGCAGCACGCTGAGTTGTGATATGGCAAGATCAGCTCGCTACTAGCTATCGAAGAGTTTCTACCTCCTGCATTTTATCAAATCCGCGACATCGTGCCTGTATACCCGAAACGGCGTTCTGACAAGACAAGGTGAATGTTTTGTCTCTAGACTCGGACCCACCATGTAAGATCACACGGCAAGCAGGAAGAGTTGTCGCTGTTTCGGATTGCAGAGCCCTTCGGTTAGAGTCTGTTAGAGTGTAATGTAGGGGCTTCGATAAAATTAGAATGGGGTTTTGGGGCGCATTATACCATAGTTCTAATAAGGAACCCCCAAAATAATCGAGGTAATTATTGAGGCCTTTATATTGGATCTTGCAGCTATGGTAACGACCTGGCAACCACAGACTTGCTCCTCTTCAGGCTTGCACCTGCCTTTTCTCTCAAGGTAGGGTTTCCGGGTTTCGGTCTTCGAAATCCGCGAGAGAACCGCCTACATCCCCACAGAGCACAACCCCCAACACCCTGCTGAGCTGCACTCTGAATCCCAACCCTAAACCTTCAGCCCTAAACCCCTAAAGTCTAAGCCCTAAGCCCCTGAAGTCTAAAGCCTAAACCCCTAGAGTCTAAACCCTAAGCCCCTAAAAGTCTAAACCCTAAACCCCTATAGCCTAAACCTGTCAACCTAAGAGCGAAACTTTTTAACCCCTGAAGCGCTGACTAAAGCTTTTAAGCCCCAAACTCAGGGACCTCTCGGTATACCCTAAACCCTAAACCCGGCCCCCCCAAGTGGTATCCCTAAATAAGGGACCCCTCGGTATTCCCTGAGGCCTTCATACACATGTACATACTTAGGGTTTAGGGTTTAGGGGTTAAATGCCTACATTCATACGTACATGCATACATACATACATACATACATACATACATACATACATACATACATACACTTCTCGTTTTCTATGAACCTTCAACCCCTAAACCCCTAAACCCTAAACCCGTAGCCCCTAAACCC